CATCAAGAAGATCATACACCCTGACCAAGTGGGATTCATCCCAGGGATGCAGGGATGGTTCAACATATGCAAATCAATAATTCTAATACACTGTATCTGTAGAGCCAAGGAAAAAATCCATATGGTCATCTCAGTAGATGCCGAAAAAGCGATCGACAAAATCCGACACATATTCATGATAAAAACCCTACAAAAATTGGAATAGAAAGTCTTTTACCTCAATCAGATAAAAGCCATCTATGAGAAACCAACAGCCAATATCATACTAAATGGTCAAAAACTGAAATCCTTCACATTACAATACAAGGATGTCCACTATCACCACTCGTATTCAATATAGTTTTGAGAACATTAGCGACAGCAATTAGATAAGAGAAAGAAATGAGAGGAAAAAAAAAAAGTAAGGAAGAGGTTAAATTGTCACTATTTGCAGATGACATGATACCAAGAACTCCACCAAAAGTCTCCTAGACTCAATAACCGAATTCAGTAGAGTAGCTGGATACAAGATCAAGACACAAAAATCAATAGCTTTCCTGTACACAGGAAACAGAAACAGACTCACTGAGAGAGAAATGGGGCAAACAATTCCTTTCACAGTAGCATCCAAAAAACCGAAATATTGAGGAATCACCCTAACAAAAGAAATCAAAGACCTCTTCTCTGAAAACTATAGCACTCTGAAAAGAGAGATCAAAGATATATCAGAAAATGGAAAGGCATCCCTTGCTCCTGGGTAGGAAGAACCAACATAGTAAAAATGGCCATGCTTCCAAAACTGCTATATGGGCAGTGCAATTGCAGTTGAAATTCCAGCAGCATACTTCATGGGCCTTGAGAAAACAATACTAAAATTCATTTAGAACAAGAAGAGACCCAGAATAGCAAAAGCAATTCTTACTAACAGAGACGTGGCAGGGGATATCACAAGCCCCAACTTGAAAGTTTACTACAAAGCTACTGTGATAAAAACAGGATGGGACTGGCAAAGAAACTGACCCGAGGATCAGTGGAACAGACTAGAAGATGCAGAAACAACTACAGACACATTCAGAAACCTCATCATTGACAAAGGAGCCAAGCACCCTCACTGGAGGAACGATAACCTCTTTAATAAATGGTGCTAGAAAAATTGGGTTTCAACTTGCCAAAGATTAAAACTAGACCTATATCTCTCACCAGCACTAAAGTAAAATAAAAATGGATTAAAGATGAAATATTAAAACAGAAACACTAAACTGACTGGAAGAGAGGTTAGGTAGAACTCTTGAAGACATTGGCATAGGAAAAGACTTTATGAACAAAACCT